TTTTTCATTCTCCTTAGATCTCTTGTTTAATTTCTCTTTCTACTTCATGCGTCTTACCAGAGACATATAATACAATTGTATTATATGTCTCTGGTCTTACTATCTCTCTGGCACCCTTTCTCATTTAACTTATAAATATATAGACGAACTATTTACATATATATACATAATGGACTAATTGTCATTAAATAAATAAACTGTAAACTTGATTTTTGACTATTAAATAAACTATAAACTTGATTTTTGACTATTGAAAAGTATTATAGATTTGAAGAAAATGTTAGCGGAAATAGATCAGCCATATACGACCAACAAATATGTTAAGATAACTTAATTGGAAATCAACTCCTTAATATTAATTGTCCTTAAATATTGATTTTTCTCCCTTTCTGCGTTTTTCGTTTTATTTTAAAACTATAAAAGTGTGGACACAGATCTGGGTGGATAGTATATTTGGATGTTTGACAGAGTTTTCTGACAAAAATAGTTCTCTGTTTTTCCCATAGGGTTCTATGTTAAACCATGGAAGTATAATATTGACATATAATACTTCCATGGTTAAACTGTGTTGTACAGTGATAGCCAACCTGTACCAAACACTAAAAATTAGCAGTGTCGTTTATTTAATATTTAGTTTTAATGTTCAAGACTCTCATGGAGGAGACACTAATTGCATGGATTACCAACGATTCTAATAAAATATGTTCCACAACTTTGATTTTGGATATTGCAGCAAAACTCATAATTAGGAGAGGAACACATTAGGTCATTTCTGCATGATGTGATTTTAATATGCGAGATGGTATCTGACAACCTGCATGCATGTACTATGTATGGTTCTATTTATGTTCCTTTGTGGTGGTCATTTCTTACTTGGGTTTGACCACAAAAACTGTAAATTAGTTATGGATCTTCCCAGTATCATTAGTAAAAGATTTCGTTTAAATGTCGAAATTGTTTCTTAGAAGATATCTAATGGTTTTTTTGATATCCAATGGTTTTAAGTAATGACAATACTTGGCATGACGCTTAAGGCTAGATGAGCTAGAAAGTACATTTCTGTGTTATTTTAGTTCTTTCTTCGAAAATGTCTTCTCCAAGGCCTGGTCGAAGTTAAAAAATTAATATTGGACCAGTATGATAAATTATCATTTATATTTTTTATCAAGGATTTTAATCTTATTATTAAAATATTTGTTCATATGCATATTATATTTTTTAAATAGCAATAACTTGTGCATGGAGATTATTTACAAATAAAAAACCTGTGCGCAATTTAATGTAATTATAATTTAGTCGCATCTGGGACTTACATGAATAATTCAGTCTCTTGGTCACAGGTTGTTAATTCCTTCATTTTTTTTTAAATTCAAAGACTAATTGCTAGTTTTATTTAAAAACAACAACATTATTTTATTAAAATGCTTATTGTATTTCGATACTATGCGAATAAAAGTCTTTGATGTGTTCATCAAAAGGCACATTTTGTTTTATGGTGTATAACAGGAGTGATTTATATTGTACAGTGTGCAAATGATTACTTGTACATATATAAACAATCTTTTTTTACTGAAAACCAAGTTATAATACTATCTTTTTTTTTTTTTGGTGTCCACATATCCCTATAAAATGTACAATCTAAGTTACAGTTATACGTTCATTTATTACGAGGAATTGTTAACAATATCAAAATTTTGTGTGTATATAAATATGAAATAAATATATGTATGCTCTTTTCGGTTCCTTTTCGGTTCTTTTCTGTTCTTTTTGGTCCTTTTCTGTTCTTTTCTGTAAATCGTCGCTCTTTTCTGTAAATCGTTGGACCGCATTTTGATGGTTCAGTCACTTATTATGAGTTATAGGATAACTATATTTGGTATATGTGTTCCTTGCAACGTCCACATGTGTGTCAGGTAGGTTCAGTGATCAAGGTCACGTATCTCATAAACTATTAGCGTTAGGTCAATTATACTTGGTGTATGGAATGATTGTAAGGTGTACATGTCCGACTGGCCAGTTTCGTCTGACCTTGACCTCAATTTCATGGTTCCTTGGACAATGTTTCGTTTTTGTGGTTTGGTCTATTTCACATATACTATAAGCAATAGGGCCACCATATTCGGTGTATGGCATGATTGTAAGGTGTACATGTCCGTCTGGCAAGTTTCATCTAACCTTGACCTCAATTTCATGGTTCATTGGACAATGTTTAGTTTTTGTGGTTTGGTTATTTTCTCGGATATTTTTAGCAACAGGTCAATTACATTTGGTGCATGCAACCATTGTAAGGTTTCAAGTTGACGTGAAATTGGGGTCAAAACTCTAATTTGGCATTAAAATTAGAAAGATCATATCATAGGGAACATGTGTACTAAGTTTCAAGTTGATTGGACTTCAACTTCATCAAAAACTACCTTGACCAAAAACTTTAACCTAAAGCGGTACAGACGGACGAACGGATGCACAGACCGAAAACCATAATGCCCCTCTACTATCGTAGGTGGGGCATAACAATTAGGAGATAATAGCTCACTTGGCCCTGTGTGCCAGGCGAGTTAAAAAAAAATGTTTTGTCATTTCAGAGTTTCAGAACCTCTAATGAACCACTAATTCTGTGTCAGAAATTCAATTTCAGAAAAGGTCGCATCATATTGAACACCTGTTCTAAGTTTATGTGAAAATAACCCAACAAATTTCCTGACTTCAACAGGTTTATTAACAGATTTAGGTGCAATCTTTTGTCAAGAGAATGTTGATATTTTTTATACAATAATACACCATATCACTTCTATTCTTCAGATTTTATAAAAATATTGATTACAAAACCTTAACTAATTTTTCAAACATATTGTATATTCAAATTTTATAAAGCCAGAAAAGAAATGGCATTTCTCCTCCATAGGTCTGGTTGAGTGAACCATTGAGCCAACTTTCAACTGTGGAAAGGTGTAATGACAAAATCCCCATGAACTGTTTACATACATGTGATGGACTGTGAAACTCAGATCAGGAGATTGGGAAATTTTGGTCAGGAGATTAGGACTCAGATCAGGAGGTTTTTAATCGACATAAATTTTGTCGTAAATGTAACCGTGTGTTGTAAAAATTGTCTTTTAAAGTGTGTTTTCTTCAACTTTCCATCCGAATGTATTATGTTCATAGTACTCTTGTACTTATAAAGTTTCTTTAACATTATATTCTACATGTTCAATAACATTCTTTTTTTTTTGTAAGTTCTTTTAATATTTTAATTCATATCTTGTAAATCATTATCTATAGTACAATCACTGCAATCAGTTCATTTGTTTAACTGTCTGCAGTTGCTATTAGAATTTATTTGCATATTTAGAAACTCATTCTCACTAAAAATTAGGGTTATAGTCATTATATAAATTTCAATTTAAGCCTTAAAAAAAAGTATAGAACCCTCAAATAAATTTCAAATTATTATTTTTTTATTTGTCCTAAGACATTTAAACTTATTTAGTTACCATCCTTTTATGATTATTTGTTCAATATATATTTTATTTATATTCTTTTTAAAATTTACATTATTTAAAGGAAAGTAACTTAAAACAGGATAAATCAAGGGAAGTAACCCAATAAATACAAAGTTTTTATTACACAACGGCAGTGTCTGAGGTAAAAATCGTTGATTACCAGTATGTTTGACACCCAAGCTGACAAGTGAAGCCATATAATTATGCATGTTAATTGATTTACAGGTAAAATATAGCTTCAGGTAAGTCAGTTACACCAGATGTCTGAGATGATATGTTGGGGAGAAATTTTTCATTCATGAAAAATTTCATACACGGGATTATTTTCCCTTCAACGGGAGGTCGGGAGGAGACCCCTGAAAACGGGATTATTGTACTCCCGTCGGGAGGTTCACATGTATGTGTTTATTGTCTTACAAAAAAGTCAGTACATGCATTCTAAAGAACGTGTGAGGTACATATAAGTATATGTTCATCCAGTCTTTAAATCAATTTGAATGCATCCATTTTATTTTTCATGTAAATTGATATTGAATGTAATTTGTGACAGAAACTGTCAAAATATACCCTTGGTTTTAAGCCATATTATCTAAGACTTTGATGTATACTGTTATAAGGAATATAAGTATAGTGTCTCTTCCTTTAAAGTTTCCCAATTTACTTTTCAACAGTTTTAAGCCATGCAGTGTAAAAGTTTTCTCAACATGAAGCAGTCTAGAATTGCTTTACAAACTTCATGTTTCTCCCTCTGTATTAGCCTTGCACAAATAAATTTATTTTATAAGACAACATAGGGTTCTCCCATTGGTATTGACTGACAAGGTAAGGCTACAATTGTTTTTACAATCATTCTTTCTTTTACTATTCTTGATTTAATGAGTAGTCTTTTTACCAATACGCACTCACAAAATGATACCATACAATGGTGAATAATGATGATGGATGGCTGTTAAACTTCCAGTGGCTAAATAAATGTAATCAGGATAAAAACATATGTGATATGAATATGACCCTGCTTTCTGCTAGAATGACATGGGGGGACATGATGCTGAAACAGATTTTTAACATGCTAGTTCACAAGGTAACAGTCTGTGGGAAGACGTGTCTCCATACCCGGACCTATTATCCTGACTCTGAGACCCCCATTCTTTTCTCTTACTCCTGATGCCTTTTGCTTATCGGAGAAGCAGCAAATACTCATTTTCAATCCTTTGGGTTTGACATAACTCGAATAATTCTGCGCCCTCTAGCGGCCTATAGCCTATCGAGGCATGTTAATGTAGCAATCGGAGATTAGACGGAGATCGGTGGAATATAACGACTGACATTATTCGGGTTAGGTTTGACACAGCCTAGGATCAAACCCACAAACTCCTGCACTCAAGGCAAGCATGCCACCATGAGACCACATGACAGTCAAGATGGTGAATTTTCTTAGCAAATGCATCTCTTTGATTTAGATCCCTGGAATTGGTACATGATAGAGTGAAACTAAAACAATCAATTTTCACAACTTTAATAGTATCTCACAGCAGTTTTTGTTATGGCTGTTCCTTAAAACACATAGAACCCATGAAAGGCATTAAAATAAAATACAAATAACTGAAAAAAGTAGAAAAAAATAAATGGTCTTTTTTCTTGTTTTTGAGGCATAAGCCATTGAAAAATTGGCAGGAAATGATTCTCGCAAGATTTTCTTACAGTTGTGACATCTTTTTTCTTTCAAAAACTAAGAAAATTTAAGAAAAGTAGGGGTAAGCAACTTAGCAGGCATAATCCTTAAAAAGCACTTCATGGATAGAACCAGAGGAACTTCAGATTATTTATAAAAGACCAAATCATTGTAACTCATTTCTTACATAGTAAGACTGTTTAATCTTGAAATCAATACAGTATTAATTATTTACACTGTCAGTCTGTCAATCAGTTGAAAATATACATTTATAAATGGTAAAAATATGGAAAATCTGTGCTATATACCCTGAGTAAACCTAATATAGATTCTGAAACACCAATTCATTCATGTGATTAAAAACATTCAAACATAAAAACTGTGAAGTAAAATATTACACTCTGAAGAAATCTATAAACTATACAGACAATTTAATTGGAAGAATTTTTGTACTTCTAAAACCCATTCAAATAACTTTAAGCGAAAAACATGACTGAAATATTTTTGACAGAGGAAACCTTAAGAAAGAAAAATTTGGCCAAACACACCAGTCAACTATAACCGAAAAAGAATTATTTTCATAAAAAAGACAAAAATAAATGTCCTGTAAATTCAGTATCCCTGACAATCATCCAAAATTAATCCAAGCTAATAATTTTTTTAAACCAAGTTGTGATAGAATATTAGTAATATAATGAAAATGTATTTTTCATTAAAAGATGAATTTCTTGTCAGATCTTTCATAATTTCTAAATCTAAAGTATATAGGCAAACACACTGTGCTGATAATCCAACCATTCTTACACACACTTTTTTCTTCTCTCAGTACAATTAATCCATCATATAAACACATTGAAGATGCACTTAGGTGATTAAAATATATAATACTAAAAATAGATTATCATCAAACATGTTCCTGGAATGATTCAACATGTAAACGTTCGGCTTTTTCTTTCAGTTTGTATATTTCATCTTGAATCTTGTCTGTTATGTATTTTCTTATTTCAGTCTGAAATAACCAAATGTGTTATTGATTAATACAACCAATTCTATGATAAGCTATGATATATATAGATTCTACCACTGCATAGAGTATGATACGATATTTATCCACTCGAGACAGTTAAATTTTCAAATTTAAAACGCGAGGCTTGCCGAGCGTTTTAAATATTTAAAATTTAACTGTCGAGAGTGGATAAATATTGTATCACACGAGATTTGGTGGTGGAATCTGTTTCTCTAATGATTTTCAAACAATAAGCAGGCAAACTTATTCCTTCCTTTCGAATGATCTGCAAAAAGATGTGTTCTTTCTATGTGAAGTCATCAGGCATGGTCGCCTTTTTTCATGCCGTCACAATAGGAAATTTAGAGGAAAGCAAGAAAAATCGACGTCATAATCGGAGTTAAACCAATGAAGAACTGAGATCAAACGAACCACACGTTGATTAAATTTTTTTTTATACAATGGGTGTAGAAAGGGATAAATTGACGAAGAATTAGAGAAAACAAAGTACACTACTATCTGTTAACAATACTACTTATGAAAACTTTCAAAAGGTAAAGGTTACTCTGATGATGCACAGCTCAAAACAGACTTATTTGTACTTATTGAGAACAATGGAGAAAGAAAGTTATTAAATTTAATATATTTATAGATTTCATAACAAATAAGAATAGGATTTTGCTTGATATCAACTTGATATATTTAATTTCAATATCCTTAGTTGATTATTATATTGAAATAAAAGATACTTGAGTTCATATATTAGCAATATTCAATTCTTACCAGTTATTAAACCTATTTCTCTAATCTTTGTGTAAAACAGAAAATTCTGCAAACCATATTATTTATCTTATGCAACCTAACCAGTATCATTTTGGGTGAGGTGCCATATGGAAATACATGTTAACAATCTTTCAAATGCAACTTTGAACGTAATGGGAAGTTTATATCAGGGCATAATCATGTCGATACAATACTACAATACTGTGTCAAAACAGGGAAAGCAAATTATTTGTCTATGTCCCCCACTAGCATCAGCTCTGTTTTATGATTCCACATGTGAATTCATACATCATGTACATATTATCTGTACCAATATAAATACAATTAAAGGAAATGACACATAATCTCCCAATCTGAAGTATCTTTATATGAAATAACCCTTAGCTTCTTTTCTGCCAATAACGGCTTATCATCTATACTCTCCATAGCTGATTATACAAGAGTGCGCATGCTGAAATGTCTCGCCTACTATACTGACCATTGATTTTATGTTGATAGTCCTAAATATAAAGTTTTACAAGTATCACATTAACATTTATGATCCAAGAAAATGAGGTCAAGGTCAGATAAACCAAGCCAGAAATACATGTACACCTTTAATACAATCATTCCATACAGCAAATATAGATGACTTATAGCTTATAGTATAAAAGAAACAGACCAAACAATGGAAATTCTATATTGACCAATGAATCATAAAAATGAGGTCAAGGTTAGATGAACCCTGCCAGACAGACATGTACACCTTAAAATCATTCCATGCATCAAATATAGTTGACCTATTGCTTATAGTATCTAAGAAACAAAGTTAACCAGGAAAACTGAACATTGACCAATGAACCATGAAAATGAGGTGAAGGTCAGATGATACCTATCAGACAGACATATACACCTTAAAATCTTTCCATACACCAAATATAGTTGACCTATTGCTTAAAGTTTAAGAAAAACGGACCAAAACACAAAAAACTCACCATTGAGCAATGAACCATGAAAATGAGGTCAAGGTCAAATAAAACCTGCCAGACTGACATGTTCATCGTAAAATATTTCCATACCGGTACACCAAATATAGTTGACCTGTTGCATACAGTATTAGAAAAACAGACCAAAACACAATAAAATGCTCCGCTGGGCGCAGCTTGATACGACCGCAGAGGTCGAACCCTGAACAGTTGGGGAAGTATGGACACAACATTCAAGCTTGATACAGCACTGAATTTGGATTGTGATTAAATATTTGACACAGCATAGGTTTCTGACACAGAATGAATGTGGTCTAAGAACTTTAAAATTTTTAATTTACCTATTCAAACCATATCATTATTATTTGCTTTTATATATAAATCAGAAATAACCAAATTAAAATGAAAAATTTAAAAAAAAAAAAAAAAAAGAAAAAAAAATCCCTCCCCTAAATTTTTTGAACCCCCTTATATTCATCACCCCCAAACTCAATCCCAGCCTTCCCTTTGTGGTATGGTACCTTGCAAAACAATTTCAGAGAGATCCATACACTTGAAAACAAGTTATTGTCTGGAAACTAGAAAAATGCTTGTTTTTTGCCCCTTTTTTTGCCCCTAATTCCTAAAATTTTGAGGCAATTACCCTCAAAATCAATCCCAGCATTCCCTTTGTGATATGGAACCTTGTGGTACAATGTCAGAGAGATCCATACACTACCACACAAGTTATGTCTGGAAGTTACAAAAATGCTTATTTTTGGCCCCTTTTTGGCCCCTAATTCCATAACTGTTTGTACCATAACCCCCAAAATCAATCCCAACCTTCCTTTTGTGGTATTGAACCTTATGGTAAAATTTCATGGAGATCCATTCCCTTAAACTAAAGTTAGAGTGCGAAAACCAATGTTTCTTCGGACAACGATGACGACGACGCCAACGTCATACCAATATACGACCAAAATTTTTTTAATTTTTGCAGTCGTATAAAAACTTTACATTGAGCAATGAACGGTGAAACTGAGGTCAAGGTCAAATAAAACCTGCCAGACTGACATGTCCACCGTAAAAAAATTCCATTCACCAAATAAAGTTGACCTATTGCATACAGTATTAGAAATACAGACCAAAACACAAAAACTTAACTTTTACCACTGAACCATGAAAATGAGGTCAAGGTCAGATGACAAATGCCAGTTGGACATGTACACCTTACAATCACTACATGTATCAAATATAGTAAACCTTTTGCTTACTGTATCTGAGATATGGACTTGACCACGAAAACTTAACCTTGTTCACTGTTCCATGAAATGAGTTCGAGGTCAATTGAAAACTTTCTGACAGGGATAAGAACCTTGCAAGGTACACACATACCAAATATAGTTATCCTATTACTCATAATAAGACAGAAATTAACATTACAAAAAATCTTTTAACTTTTTTTCAAGTAGTCACTGAACCATGAAAATAAGGTCAAGGACAATGGACATATGACAGATGGAAACTTCATATCATAAGGCATCTATATATAAAGTATGAAGCATCCAGGTCTTCTACCTTCTGAAATATTAATCTTTTAAGAAGTTAGTTAATGCTGCCGCCACCGGATCACCATCCCTATGTCGAGCTTTCTGCAACAAAAGTTGCAGGCTCTACAATAAAACTTACAGGTGTTTTCTTCATTAGCCTCATTAATTCTATATCTTCTGTAAATTCCATTGGCTGTCCAATTAACAGTGTCACCTTCTGTGAATATATTAACATAAAACATGGAAGAAAATATCATAAATATAGTGTATTTAAAACATCATAAATATAGTGTATTTGATAAATCAAAAAAGGGGGAGGTAATTTGAGTTAGAAATTTAAGAGACACTGTCATGCAGGTAAGGTAAAATCATATAAAAATATTTTCAAATGTTTATATTATTTTGATCACTTCATTAGGTGTAGACAGAATTGACCCAACAATTAAAAATTGAAACAGAAATTGAAGTTATCAATAACATCACAATTAGATAACAATGAAGAATGTAAGTCCTATTTGCAACACATAGAAATGCTATGGATTAGAACAAGACAAACACAAAAATTTCCATACATCTTTATAAGTTCACATCATATGGAGGATGTGAACTACGTTTCAAGATTTGGCGACCACACTTCATGTTAAACTACCTCAAACCAAAACTTTAACTGATATGAGACAGACAGACAGACAAAAAAATAAAAGAAAAGAGTTCCAATATCCCCTGCATTGCACATATTTTATATTTCCAAGGGGCATAACTCTTTTAAAAAAATTGATCGTCCACCATTATAGAACTTGTCCGAGATAATGCTGATATTAACCTATAGTATAAGTTTTATGAAATTCTGACAAGAATTGTACCCGTGAGAGCGTTAACAAGGCCATTTTCCATAAATTTAATATTCCCAAGGGGCATAACTCTTTTAAAAAAAGTTGATCGGCCACCATTCTAAAACTTGTTCGGGATATTGCTGATATTAACCTATAGTATAAGTTTTGTAAAACCGGCAAGAATTGTACACATGAGGGCGCTAATGAGGCCATTTTCCATTAACTTAACATTTCCAAGGGGCATTACTCTTTTAAAAAAAGTCGATCGGCCACTATTATATAACTTGTCCGAGATATTGCTGGTATTAACCTATAGTATAAGTTTCATAAAACAGTATTTGTATTTTACCTTTCTGATTCTTGGAACATAAGGTTTTTTATTTGGAAGAATATCATCCATTCCTACAAAACATAGATTTAGAAAAATAATGTCATGTTAAAGCTAAGGTAAAAAATTGAAGATTTGTTTTGCATTATTTCAAAGTGACATTTTTATTCTAATCATTCATATTTAAAGACAATTCCCAATTAAACAAGAGGCACACCGGGTAAAAATATGGCCAGTTTATTAATTAAGACTTGTATGCACAATCTTTAGTTACTCTATTAGTTGCTGATCATTTTTGCAATTTACATCTTTTACCTGGCTCCTATAGTTTTTTTTAGATAAAAGCCAATTATTAACGATAATGGTACCAATTTGACTGCACCAGATGCACATTTTGACAATGAATGTCTCTTCCATTTTGCTCAAGGGCAAAATATATGAAATCCAAAACTTGATTCAAACGATGAAGAGCTGATAAAACCAAAAGCAGTCAAAAGTGTAAGGCCAAATTCAGGTAAGGAATCAGAGCTTTGCAAAACTGCAAAAAAAAAAACCCAGTAAAAATCAACATTTCAGGGGCAATTACTCCAATAAAGGATTGTCAAATTTTCAGAGTAAATAGATCTTGTCATGCTGATTTTGTTCTGCAATTCACACTATTAACCTACCTTCTATAGTTTTCAATATAACAGCCAAAATATGTATATTTCAGGGGCAATAACTCAAACACAGGTCGAAGGATGTTTCTGAAATTTTCATGATCTCTAGATTTTGTCCTGCTGATCATTTTTGCAATTTAAACTTATAACATAGCTACTATATTTTTCACAATAACTTTCAAAAACTGCAAAAATGGCAATATAAGGGGCAATAACTCCAAAATAGGTTAACAGATATTTTTCATGGTAGATGTAGATACATTTAGTTGCACTGATCCTTTTTGCAGTTTACACTTTTAACCGAACTCCTATATTTTCACAATAACAGCCAACAGCTGCTATAAATTGAAAAAAAATCTATATTTCAGAGGCAATAACTCCATAACAAGTAGTTAGATTTGTCTCCAATTTTCAAGGTGGATACATCTTTTGAAGCTGATCATGTTGTACTTTACACTTTTCACCTAAGTCCTATAGTTTTTCGTAAAAATGGCAAGGAAATGCCCAAAAAAAACTTACCCAAAAGTTCAACATTTCAGGGGCAATAACTCCAAAGCCAGCGGACTGATTTTCCAGGTAGATAGAACTTGTTTAGCTGACCATTCCTACCCTGTTACTTTCTCTAATTACAATAATTGCCAAAACTGTAATTTGACCCCTATGTTCTATTTTTGCAGTTGACATCCTCTATAGGAAGCAGAAAAACTTTGGTTTTAATCCATTGAGCAGTTTCAGAGGAGAATATTTATAAAGAAAAATTTACGGACAGACAAAGGACGCAAAGTGATGGCAATAGGAAACTTACCTACATGGTAATACCTTAGTAAACTTACCTACATGGTAATACCTTAGGAAACTTACCTACATGGTAATACCTTAGTAAACTTACCTACATGGCAATACATTAGTAAACTTACCTACATGGTACATTGGCAATACAACAGGGATTTTTTTGGCTTCAGCAACCAGTCTGCCAACTCCTACAAAGAGAAATCTAAGATGTTTAAATATTATGCAAATGTCTTGAATTTATGTAAGAGTCAAATCAATGTTCAGCTTCAAATCCGTTTCCTTTTCTTAGATCTGTGCCCCGAAATGTCATGATATTCAAATGTGTGGTTTATTCTTTATTTAAATCCTCTCTTTTTTATAAAGTAGACTTTTAGTAATGTGACGTGACATGGACAGGCACATATAGAATGCAGCAGGGTTAATACTCTCAACCCTCCCCTAACCTGGGACCTTTCAGTAACAACACAACACAGGAGAAAACTAAAAATCAGTAGGAAAGGACTTCTTGGCTCAACAAAGCACAAAAAGACGAAAGTAAAAAGACACAAAGTACCAATCTACGAGTACTCAACTCTGTTTGACAGGTTGGCTTTCAAAGCTTTGTTACTTACTGATACTAAAAAAATGATTAAAATTCCCAAGTGTAGAAATATGAGAAAAAATTCCTCAAACATTTCTATGATAGCAGATGCACAACTTCAACATATGTTCAATCTTCCTGAGAAGTTTCAGGAATTTGGGTAGAAAAGTGTGGGAGGAGTTGATTACACAAATTAGATACCCACTTTTACCTGACCACCCATCTCCCCAACATCACCATACTATACGCCAAAAATTAAAAGAAACTGAAAGCACCAATGTACAAAGTTTAACAAACATTAACTGATATCTTTATATTTTGAATATAAAAGTCCTATTGATGTATTTCTTTCCTCTGTGATGTCTTGAAAATTCTGATGTAAGCACATTGTTGAAAGACACACAGATTAGAGAAAAGAAGGGACACAGATTTGTGACTTCTATGACACAATCTAGAACAGGACACAGGTCTGAGGAAAGGACACAGATTTGTGACTTCTATGACACAATATAGAACAGGACACAGGTCTGAGGAAAGGACACAGATTTGTGACTTCTATGACACAATCTAGAACAGGACACAGGTCTGAGGAAAGGACACAGATTTGTGACTTCTATGACACAATATAGAACAGGACACAGGTCTGAGGAAAGGACACATATTTGTGACTTCTATGACACAATATAGAACAGGACACAGGTCTGAGGAAAGGACACAGATTTGTGACTTCTATGACACAATATAGAACAGGACACAGGTCTGAGGAAAGGACACAGAATTTAGGCTGGACATAGATGTGAGGCTTACAAATATACTGATCCTGACTGAATATTCATATGGATCTATAAAACCTTAAACAGAAAAGTGGACAGTGAACACATATTCTGGACATGTCCAAAAGTATTTGATGTATGGGAAGAACTTAATAGATGGATATATACTAAAGTCCAAATTGAACTACCACTTAACTTAGACATAGTCTTATTTGGGATATTAGAAAAAATGGAAAAAAATACATAAGAAACCTCATTATAAACTAAATATTATATATGTTGTGTACAAGTTATCATTTTGTACAAATTATAATGTGTATTCTGACTTTGTACAAATTGTAATTTGTACAAAAAGTGCCTGTACACATTATAATTTGTACAAAATAAGGCTTAATATCACTTAAAACTTGTACAATATTTTACATAGAATAAGTTTTCAAATCAAATGATAATACATAGTTTTAATTTTAATTACGAATCAATATGAAACACATTGATAACTCTATTTACAATACTATACAATAATATACAATGATTCTTTTTGTTGGAAAAGGTGAGCGAACCATGACATCTCGAATTACACCAAATATTCTGCTTTTTGCAATTACACTTGGAATTGCTACAACCACATTTACATTTACAAGAGAGATAACCCTGTCCACCAGTTTTTAAGGCTTTTTTCACAGCTTCCCTCAGGGAAAGTGGTAAATCAGGAATTTGTGACACAGAAGAGTCATTAATTGCTTTAAGTTAATTTCTGCTTAAGAATCCCAGTAAATTACCAACTATTGTCCCTACACGATATCCAAACTTTCCTTCTTCCACCACAACACCTTGCATATTCCTCAGATCGGTCGGTGCCCGGTCATACTGTGGTATTGGGATGATAACATTGTCTCAAACAGATAACTTGCTCAGTTTCTGTATTATATTTTTTGTTAGGACATCTGATTGGATTTGTTGGCCAGACACTGCATGTTTTCTTGCTCGAATGATTGGGGTTTCGACTTCCTCTGATACAACTTCAATAGTTGTACTAGTTGATCCAGTTTCACTATCAGTCACAGAATCGTTAGGTTCTCTTTCTGATTCTACCGATTCAGTTTCAGTGTTTTCATCCGTGCCATCAATTTCAATGTCACTGTTCTCCTCTGAAACCTCTTTGAACACTTTCTCCAAATCTTCCTCAGTTTCAAGATTTGGCAAAAGTTTCTCGGGCAAAGAAGAGGAAGACAAATCTATCTTTAGTTTAGAATCAAACAGAGCATGATAAGGCGATTGATCAATTACCCTGTGATATGATCGATTTTTCTGAAATTGCACAAAGCTCAAACCTTTAGACCACTGCAATGTGTCATTATCATTCATATATAACATATATGAGCATTTCTTTAATGTCTGTGTTTGCCCGTTATACAGACTCTTGACTTTGCGGTTGACTTGGTCGCCCATGAACTATTCTTATTCTGACCATAACGTTTAATGATTAAATGTGCAATGAACTCTCTCCCTTTATATCGCTTTGGGGGATATATGTAGCACCAAAGAGAAGAAAAATGCCAAGTAAATGATAAGCAACTTCAGCAGCTCTCTTAGATTTCAAAGCTCTAAGAACACTAAATGTTAAAAAATGCATTGAAAGGTTTCTATATGGTGTAGCAATGCTTTTTTTTATCACAAAAACCATACAATAAATTACAAAATGATAACTTGTACACAACATATATACAGAACAAAAATGAAAAGTGGACAAGTAAATATTGTAGCTTTAAAAAATTATCTTAAAGAAAATTCGTTTATTGAAAAAAAAATTTTTTATAAAAATAAAGCACTGCTGGAACCCTTGGCTCCAACTAATAGAATAATTATACAAGTAAATTTTTAAGTAATAAAAATATCTTCCCAAACCAGACTACCTAGGTTTTTATCATTATTATTTATTTATAAGTTTGTCAAATGATTCAAAACACCAACTGTATGCATTTGTAATTTATAGATGTACTATGGATTTATTACCATAATTATACTATGTTGTCTGCTCTATGGTCGGGTTGTTGTCTCTTTGACACATCCCTTATTTCCATTCTCAATTTTATACTATGACTACTGTAAATTCAGAAATTATTGCGATGTTTTTATTATTGCGAAAAATGCGACAGGGTTATAATCGCAATAATTCAAACTCGCATTTGAAAATTTTTTTATATGAATTAAACAGGATTTTTCTCAATATCGCAAAAATTAAAATCGCATTTTAGTTTAAAATGACAAAATCGCAATAATAAATGCACACAATAATTTCTGAATTTACAGTATTTATATATGTAGTTTTGCCAATAAACACATTACAAAAAAAAAAGAAAGAAAAGAGGACAGTACTTATAAATGTCAAGCATGTACTCCCTGTCCTTAAAGGTGAATTTATTGATGGCATCAAAAACCTATTCTTATATGGAATGGCAGCTAATCAACAATGTGAGACAGCATGTGAGGATTTTGTTTTGTGGTGCTTACATAAATCTTATCAGTATGCATATTTATCAACTATTATTAAGTTAGATATGGGCATTTTACTATTTCAAATTTTCTATTTACTTTAAATTTGAGTCCAACTTTGCCAGGAATGTAAATTTTATTGTAAAGATTAAACCCTAAAGAAAATAACTTCGCTACTTACCCCATTTAAATCTAATGAAGCTTTTGTCTATGTTCACTCTACCTAAAAAAATAAAAGAACAGAGTTCCAATGTCCCCTGCATTGCACATATTTAATATTTCCAAGGGGCATAACTCTTTTAAAAAAAATCAATCAGCCACATTATAGAACATGTCCAAGATATTGCTGATATTAACCTAAAGTATAAGCTTTATAAAAATCTGGCAAGAATTGTACCCGTGAGAGCACTAACAAAAGCGGACGGAAGGACACACGGAGGGACGCATGGACGGATGCCCGGTATTTCCATGTCTCCCGCAAAGTGTTAAGCGGGGGACAAAAAACAATAAGATATTCAGCAAATCTGAAGTAGCAAATATATTTTTGAAATCAATCAAGTTTATACATGCTTTTCTTAATGGTTCTATCATAACATGTATGATACCCTTCGAATGCATAATGAAGATGGGATTAACATCCAGAGGCAATTTTAGAATTTCTCTTACATTTTAAATGTATTGAACACACCCCCTCCCCTCCCCATAGCTGAGATGTAGAATTGCCTATCCTCGTTCCAATTTTTGTTTTTATATTGTAAAATTTTGTGGGTCTGTAAAACTTAAAATTTTGACACTGTACTAATTTCAAAGTTGTAATTTTGAAGTGTAGTGGGAATTCTTTAAATATTCAATTTAACTTTTTATCTACAAACAAACCTTCAGGAAATATATGTGTCCAGTCTCCATTATTAATCTTATCCAGTATAAAGTCCATACTCCTCTGGTATACTCCATCTCCTCTTATAACTGGTACTACTCTTCCTAGACTGAAGAACAGAGCATGGGAAAACTTGGTGAAACAGATATCATGAGCAGCTGTTATCCATCTTACCTTTGCAGGTTGAACTGTATTTCTCCACTTCAGACATCCTGAAACAAATTATACATATATGTGATGAATAAACAGTCAAACCTGCTATAAATGTTACCTTTATCAACCTGTGATGAGTAAACAGTCAAACCTGCTATAAATGTTACCTTTATCAACCTGTGATGAGTAAACAGTCAAACCTGCTATAAATGTTACCTTTATCAACCTGTGATGAGTAAACAGTCAAACCTGCTATAAATGTTACCTTTATCAACCTGTGATGAGTAAACAGTCAAACCTACTATAAATGTTACCTTTATCAACCTGTGATGAAAAAACAGTCAAACCTGCTATAAATGTTACCTTTAAATATCAACCTGTGATAAATAAACAGTCAAACCTGCTATAAATGTTACCTTTATCATGCGAAAACCTGTCTTGTCAGGTCACACTCTTCTTGTCCCTTCATAGAAATCCTATGTAGTTTGAGCCTCAATTCTCAATTCAAAGATTATCTATCTTATGCGGCCAGTTTTCTCTGGCACTTTGGATGACCTTTATATTATATGATATTCAGGTCTCAGACAGGGTATATAATGTGACATTCCCGGCTTAGAGTTTGTATTCCCCGAGCCGAAAGTCGAAGGGGATATAAACCCTAAGCCGGGAATGTCACATTATATACCCTGTCTGAAACCTGAATTACACATATAGTAGGGATTATCCCCGACTTAATGTTTTTTCTAGTACCAAGTATACATGTGTTAAACATTCACCATGCAGTATATATATTTTCCGCATACGTGAAGGATTTTGAAATTTGCTGTGAAAATAATGCTTTAATGTGTTATAGAACTTTAAAATATAGTTAAGTATTTGATGTGTAAATTGCGTGGTTTTAAATTAAAAACGTATTATTGACAGATACACATCATTATTTTCCCTCTGTGCTCCTCTGACGTTCTTTATGTGTTCTGTATAGCCTATGACTACGTCACATAGTAACGCTCATTATGATGACGTTGTTGAGGTTCCAATTGGGGTAAAAAAACGTTGTATATACCACCAGCAGTTTCCTGAATATATACTGACATCTCTGTGTTGTTATCCAATCACAAAACTCGACACATTTGTAATCCGTAATATACAGTTTTGACTGTATATGATATCATAATTAAAGACCAAAACAAATGTTATCTCACTTATATATCGCCTAACTTAAATACATGTATCTCTAATAATCTATAATATCTATTTCTCCTGTAACTTTGATGACTACTTCATTATTAAATTCATAAATGTCATTTGACTGACAAGTTACTATTAAACATAGAATAGTGTTTGCTTGAGGAACTAGATATACAATATATATATATAAACAGCTCTCCTAACAACAAAAATGAAACAAATTAAAATATAACAAGAGTGCACATTCTGAAATAAATCGCCCACTTTACTGACCATTGATTTTAAGTTGATAGTCCTAAATATAAAGCTTTACTACAAGTATCACATAAACTTAACATGATCCAAGAAAATGAGGTCAAGGTCAGATAAACCAAACCAGAAATAGTTAATACATATACACCATACAATCATTTCATACACCAAATATAGTTAACCTATTGCTTATAGTTACTAAGAAACAAACTACTAGGAAAACTTAACATTGACCAATGAACCATGAAAATGAGGTCAAGGTCAGATGAACCATGCCAGACAGACATGTACACCTTACAATCAATCTATGCATTAAATATAATTGACCTATTGCTTATAGTATCCAAGAAACAAACTTAGCCAGGTAAACTTCAGATTATACCTGCCAGGCAGATATATACACCTTACAATCATTCCATTCATCAAATAAAGTTGACCTATTGCTTATTGTTTAAGAAAAACAGACCAAAGCACAAAAACTTAACACTGAGCAATGAACCGTGAAAATGAGGTCAAGGTCAAATAAAACCAGCCAGACTGACATGTACATCGTAAAATATTTCCATACACCAAATATAGTTGACCTATTGCATATAGTATTAGTAAAAAAGACCAAAACACAAAAAATTAACTTTAACCACTGTACCATGAAAATGAGGTCAAGGTCTGATGACACCTGCCAATTGGACATGTACACCTTACAATCATTCCATACACCAAAATTAGTAGACCTATTGCTTATAGTACTTGATATATCTGGACTTGACCACGAAAACTTAACCTTGTTCACTGATCGATGAAATGAGGCCAAGGTCAGATGAAAACTGTCTGACAGGCATGAGGACCTTGTTATAGGATAACTATATTTGGTATGTGACCTCACACATACCAAATATAGTTATCCTATTACTCATAATAAGACAGAAATTAACATTACAAAAAATCTTAACTTTTTTTCAAGTAGTCACTAAACCATGAAAATGAGGTCAAGGACAATGGACATATGACAGACGAAAACTTCACAACATAAGGCATCTATATACAAAGTATGAAGCATCCAGGTCTTCCAACTTCTAAAATATAAAGCTTTAAAGTATTTAGTTAACGTAGCCGCCACCACCGGATCACTATCCCTATGTCGAGCTTTCTGCGACAGAAGTCGCATGCTCTACAAAAACTAGATCATCAACAATGTTCATACCTATTCAAGTGTCAAATATGATAAATTTACAGTGAACATGCATTACAAAGAATAATACAAACTAGCAGTTAGGCATGGTAAACGACTGAATTTACCACAGGAAAATTACATAATCAATCCATGCATATCTTTTAAGAGAATAAATAAAGAAATAAAGTTCTGCTAAATGAAATGACTGAAACAAACTACTGAAAATTTCAACTAACATTTGAACATGTTGAAGAAATAGGCTAAGATGGGCTGTCAGATCAAGTTTCAGTGCAAAACTTTGTCTTGAGATTTCTCTGATGTCTGACAGCCTTTTTGTGACTTGCTCGGAAAATGGGATGGCCACAGCAAGTCCCCAAAAAGGCTGTCAAAATTCAGAGAAATCTCAGACTACAAGTAATCTACACACCCCAAAAAGGCTGTCAAAATTCAGAGAAATCTCAGACTACAAGTAATCTACACACCCCTAAAAGGCTGTCAAATGTCAGAGAAATCTCAGACTACATGTAACCTACACACCCCTAAAAGGCTGTCAAATGTCAGAGAAATCTCAGACTACAAGAAACCTACACACCCCTAAAAGGCTGTCAAATGTCAGAGAAATCTCAGACTACAAGTAACCTACACACCCCTAAAAGGCTGTCAAATGTCAGAGAAATCTCAGACTACAAGTAACCTACACACCCCTAAAAGGCTGTCAAATGTCAGAGAAATCTCAGACTACAAGTAATCAACACACCCCTAAAAGACTTTCAAATGTCAGAGAAATCTCAGACTACAAGAAACCTACACACCCCTAAAAGGCTGTCAAATGTCAGAGAAATCTCAGACTACAAGTAATCTACACACCCCTAAAAGACTTTCAAATGTCAGAGAAATCTCAGACTACAAGAAACCTACACACCCCTAAAAGGCTGTCAAATGTCAGAGAAATCTCAGACAACAAGAAACCTACACACCCCTAAAAGGCTGTCAAATGTCAGAGAAATCTCAGACTACAAGAAACATACACCCCCCTAAAAGGCTGTCAAATGTCAGAGAAATCTCAGACTACAAGTAACCTACACACCCCTAAAAGGCTGTCAAATGTCAGAAAAATCTCAGACTACAAGAAACATACACCCCCCTAAAAGGCTGTCAAATGTCAGAGAAATTTCAAGACTACAAGTAATCTACACACCCCTAAAAGGCTGTCAAATGTCAGAGAAATCTCAGACTACAAGTAACCTACACACCCGTAAAATAGATGCTGTAAGGGTTCTTTCATGTTCATCTTCTAACATATCTTAAATCATAAATAGTCATCAAAAGAGTACATGCTGTCTTACCCCATAGCAATGGATCATCCATACAGCTGTCATGGTTACTAACTGTTACAAGTCCTCTTTTTTCTTCTCTGTCATACAAACATTTGTATAATCTCTCCTGATTATGGATTTTATATGTGTTCAGCAATCCTACAATAAATTTAGAGTAAGAGTTTATATAATTAAAAATTAGACCCAACATGATGATGGTTCTTTTTTATATTTACACTTCTTTTATTGGTGATCATCTCATCTTTGAAGCTATTGTTTAATATAAACTAACAAATCAGAATTATAATATATACTTGAAATATTTAGTAATTAAAATATTTAATCAGGTCTAACTCTGTACAGCACAACTGAGATATTTAACAAGATGTTGCTTCCCTATTATACGGTATACCCCAGCTCGATATTGTTCACTACATGTGACCAAAAATTCACACATGAGCAAGACATTTTAAAGATACAAGTTTTTAGCAAACATAAGTAGAACATATTGCAGGCATTGAATTTGATTCCAGATGAAGCTTGCAGCTGCTAATCTAGAAGCTATATATCACCTATATATAGTTACTGAGAAAATGAGACAGGCATGTTATGGACAGACAGAGAAAAATCAGTGTACCACACTTCAAATGGAGCTGGGGTGTAAAAACTTGTTTTATCCTGCCACATTATCAGACCCATAAAGTGTTCATACGTGTATGTATGTCCAAAGTCAGGAACCGTGTTAGTGGTACATGTAGTATTTTGTCATTTGGAGAAATTTAGTATTATGACAGATTTTTTAATAGTCGCTGCTGTTAAATTCATTCACTACTTTCCAGGACACAGACCAATTTTTAGTTTACATTATGCAAAGACACCTGTATATCGTTCACGTTGTTGTTGCACATATGTTAGCCTTGTTTAAAATCACATCAACTGGGTGAATAATTTGCAAATTATAAATATTTTGAATTTGAAATCAACTGGGTGAATAATTTGCAAATTATAAATATTTTGAATTTGAAAGTATCAATTTAAACAGTAGTTTTAGGAAAATTTCAATGAGTTTTTCTTGGTAACCAACTCTGACATCTCCAATGGTATTCAATTTTCACACTTATTCAAAATAGTGCATACTGTAAATTCAGAAATTATTGCATGTATTTGTTATGGTAGTTTTTACTCTATACATGTAAGTATGATTTTTATTAAATAAATCAAAAGCCATATGCTTTGCACAAGAAAAGATGCAAACCTGAAACTTACTACACAGTTTATTGATTTGTATTGAAAAATTGTAGTTTTGTAGAATATTAAACAAGTACAATAAAATCATATACACAATGAAATCATATGCAGAGTCAGCATGTTGTCAAAGGATTATAACTAATATCAGTTTACCAGTCTGAACCTTTTTAAATTTCATGAAATTTTTTGTTGTTGTCACGGCTATTACAGAAACTGTCCGAAACAAGAAGTTCGAATATATTTATACTTGTCTGGGAGATTTTGGGACAAGCATGACAAGTCAGCTATGGTATTTCAACATTACTGCAGATTTGACCATGCAATCCTATCAGGCCTTTTTTTGGTTATATAGCTTAATTTAGAAGTGTATGCAGATACAAAGTGTAAACAGACATACAGACCAACAAACCAACATTCACTTTATATCATTTGTGGTTTTTTTTTATGAACTTAATCAACATGAATGATGACCAATATGTATAAAATTTGTTTAAACTGAAAAACATTTATGCATTAATACCTAATCTCTAATTAGCATTTACTAGTACCCTCACTAAGTGACGGTCCCTAAGACATATTTCAGTTCTTTAGTTTTGTATTAAAATGATGTAGCAGGGATGGGGTAATTGTAATCTGTAATCGTAATCAATTGTAATTGATTACATGTTTCCCAGTAATCGACAGTAATCTGTAATCGAAGACATTTTCGATTACATGTAATCGTAATTTAATCGATTACAGCAAAAATTAGGATGTAATCATCGATTACTTTTGATTACATTTCAATTACTTTTAGTGAAATAGTTTGATGAAATTAAACCTATTTTAAATGAAAATATATATGCATTCATCACTTTATAGTACAGATAAAATAGAAAGTATTTAGACTTCAGAGTTTATCAAATGCCTTATTTGTATCTATTGTCTCAAGCTGCATTATGATCAACCAGAACTCCTACCAATTTTACTGTATATCCAGCTTTTTAAACAATTGACTTAACTGTCTTCAATGCTTGTCAATTATTTAAAGACCTTTTATTTTGAAATAAGTAAATAGATAAAAATAAGAAATGAGTCTTATGTTAAGTTCTGTACTACTTTGACATTGAAGTGTAATTTTCAATAAGATTTGGAATTTTAGCTAAACTAGATACACAGTGGATTCGTTATAATATTATGATATAAAAATCAGAAAGTACACAACGTACCAATTGATTTGCATTGAAATTCTTGTTCAGAAATAGATACATGTATCCCATATTGACACTAAAATAAATCTTGTTAAATATCATGATTTTGAATAGAGTATAGAAAAATCCCAACAAATTCCTGTGTTTACTAATCAGATGATCAAGGACTTCTAATCAATAAGATGTTTTGATTTCAATTATGTCTAATTAAGAGGAGATTGACATTATATTTCCCCAGGTTATGAAATGTACTCCATTGGCAGTTTTATAACCTGTAATTAGGGAGATTATCCAAACAAAATAATTAATTCATGCATGTATTAGTTATAAATTTACATCTTTGAAATTAGCTGAACTAGTTAATTATTCTTCTTTTACATTTTAATTGTAATATATACTATATCAAATATAGTTAAAAATTAATAAATACAAAATACCTAACTTAATTAAGTCATTATGACAGCAAAACTTGAAAAATATAGAGACATGTGGAAAATAAACTAGACTATAAAGAAGTGACTGAAGCCATGTGGTGTCATTGCAAGAACTTTATTACATCTCACTCATGTAGATAACCAGATTTTAAAGAATTTTTGAATATTTCAAATCCTCGGTGAGAGCTTCTATCTAGAAACAAACTGTCAACTTAAACTTGAAAACAATGCTTTCAATGAAGTTTTGATCAAGTTATAAATTTTCCCTATACATAACAAAATGTTTGTGTTTAACTTACTTTATTATTTTTTTGTAATTTTATAGCATGTAATTTACAGTAATCGAAAAGTAATCCAATTACTTTTGATAAAGTAATCGATTGCAATCGATTACATACAAAAATCAGAGTAATCGATTATTAATCGAATACACAAAAATCCCTCAAGTAATCGATTATTAATCGATTACATTTGTCAGTAATCATGCCCATCCCTGTGATGTAGCCTTGCTTTTCTCAACAAAAAATTGAGAAAACAGACTCAGTGTGATTAGCCAGACTACTTTATGCCAAAACTGATTAAACTTAAAACAATTTCAAATAAAATAGATACAAAAAGTATAACATAAATACCTTTCATCACTTTGCAGAAAACAAGAGTAAGAAAAATTACTGTGTAACTGAAAAAACTCCAAATTTTGGATGGCCTTTCTGAGAACAACCAGTATTTTGGGTCTCTTTGTATCCTATTCACACCCTGTATATCCATATCATCCAGAAATAGAGATTTTATAAAAATTTATGTAAAATCATGAAATTTGCAATGTCTTGTTTTTTGTATTTTGCCTCTTCAAAGTGATATTATCCAACAGCATTTACACATATTACGTTTCCAATCTGTTACATACTATTTTTTACCAGATTACTATAATTTATATCATCATACATAATTCCATTCATATCTAGGTCAAGAGGTTGTCATTTATAGTTTTATATTGTTCCAATTTTTAGAAATTAATATTCTGTAAATGTCACAGTGTTTTTATGATACAACCAATCATATTTATATTTCCCATTTTCAATGTTTTCTGGTAAAATCAATAAAGCTTAAATCTTTGACATATGTTACCTCCATGTACATGATATAACAGAAAGTACATGTAAAATGGTTTGTGCTATTTATAGACTGCTTAAGATCTATCTTTATGATAAAGCATATATTCGTGCCAACAAAGTTTAGATGCTTCACCTCATACAATACAATGTTATGTAGTTATGTCTGACTGACATACTTATCATACAACATAATAATGTCATGTACTTATCAAAAGTTTTCACCATTCAATTTCTGATCCATGTGGAAATAGAACATTTGCCACCTATAAGTTTATTGCTATGTATAAGTTTTTATGCCATCTCTTAGTTTATTGCTATCTATTAGTTTATTGCCACCTATAACTGTATAATTTTATTGCCACCTATAAGTTTATTGCCACCTTTAAGTTTATTGCTAGATCCTTATGTGAAATGACCCTATAATAGCTTCGTTGTTATTTATTAATAACATTGGTGGCCTTCGGCTGTTGTCTGCTCTATGGTCGGTTGTTGTCTCTTTGACACATTCCCCATTTCCATTCTCAATTTTATTATTGCTAAGTATAAGTTTTTATGCCGTCTCTTAGATTATTGCCATCTCTTAGTTTATTGCTATCTATTAGTACATTGCCACCTATAAGTTTATTGTTATGTATAAGTTTTTATGCCATCTCTTAGTTTATTGCTATCTATTAGTTTATTGCCACCTATAACTGTATAAGTTTATTGCCACCTTTAAGTTTATTGCCACCTTTAAGTTTATTGCTAGATCCTTATCATGTGAAATGACCCTATTATACCTTTGTTGTTATTTATTAATAAATATAAGAAATATGAATTCAATAAATACTTGTTCGTTATCACTAGTCATAAGGATAATTGCATTGATCTGTTTGTGCAGTTTATTTTTATTTTATTCTTATACACATCTGTTGCATTCATTATTAACATGACTAAGATATAAAATTTAAATAAAAAATATTCAAGGATGGAATAGTTAATTTAACAGTTAAAAAAATATTTATGATTTTTATATCTTTTGATATACTCTTAACATGCTTAATAGATATATATATATAGATCTAACATTGTTGGGCTGTTATTTAGACGAATTATATATACAGAATGTGTCTTCAGCCTTGTATCACCATCACTGGTTCAGACGTACTTATAATATAATTATTTCTGTGACTGCATCCTACATTAATTTGTAAGATACTCTACGATAGAAAATTCAGCTGATCTGTAATATTCCATCTTCATGCCTTATATATCATGTACTGTGTTACGACGCTAGATAAAAACTGACGAGCCTAGGTGATAGCGCGCCTATCATAGTGCAAGGGGATTTGGTGCCACGATATCTCAGTAGCATGAGTTCCAATCCCGGCCAGGGTAGAACAAAAATTTGCTTCCGCAAATTTACAGATCTAACATTGTTGGGCTGTTATTTAGACGAATTATATACACAGAATGTGTTTCCAGGCTTGTATCACCATCACTGGTGATCCGATTGATAAAATCTGTCGTAGAGTTGTCACTGGTTCAGATGTACTTATATATATATACATATTTACATTTACATGTAAAAATGTATGTATACAAATTTATGGAAAAAATTTAATTATAGTGTTTAACAAGAGGCTGTCAGAGTGACAGCAAACCGGATTTTCCTGCATGAAAATGATATTTGCAAATCTGGACCCCCAAACAGGATCAAGTAAATATTAAACATTAACACAAACAACAAAAATAAAATACCACATAACAACTGTGACATCTACCTTCAAAACACACGACTTAAAAAAATTAGTTATAAAGAAATTTTTGACAACTCCTGACTAAAATCAATTGAACAGATACAATCATTGATAGACGATCTATCCATATACTTATTAATTACACCATTTCTGTTCAAAGGAAAATAACTCAAAATAAAAATAAATCATATACCGGTAAACTGGAAATCCCATTTTCTGTTGAATAAACTAAGTATGACTTTTCACTCCGCTAACATGGCTAAGGTATATAACTCAACAATAATAAAAGCTAAAATCTTGAAAATCGAACTTGATCTTCATTTAGTCACAGGAAACAACATATATAAATTTGAAAAGATTTCTTCAAAGCGTTATCAAGTTATTGCACGGACAACGCTCTAAGTATCACCTTTCGCTATTGAAAGGTCTACAACTCAACAACAATAAAAGTTTAAATCATGAAAATCGAACTTGACCTTTTAGTCACAGGAAACAACTTATCTAAATTTGAAAAGATTTTGTCAAAGCGTTATCAAGTTATTGCACAGACAACGCTCTAAGTATCACTTTTCGCTATTGAAAGGTCTACAACTCAACAAGTTGTCTTATTCATCTGAAATTTTCATCGTGGATAGATTTCAACCTGATAAACATTTTATCCCATGTCAGATTTGCTCTAAATGTTTTAGTTTAAGAGATGTAAGCCAAAAACTGCATTTTACCCCTATGTTCTATTTTAAGCCATGTCGGCAATCTTGGTTGGTGGGCGGGATCATCGGACACATGTTTTAAACTAGATACCTTAATGATGATTGTGGCCAAGTTTGGTTAAATTTGGCCCAGTAGTTTCAGAGGAGAAGATTTTTGTATAAGTTAACAGACGACGACGGACGACGATGGACACCAAGTGATGAGAAAAGCTCACTTGGCCCTTTGGGCCAGGTGAGCTATAAACTATATTGATTAATTGATTGTTGGTTGCTTAACATCCAGTGGCAAATATTTCATGTGAAGCAATACGATAGATAAGAAACACAAGTGACCATGATAAATTAATACACTGTCTAATTTCAAAGTAAAATTATTAGATAGGTGTTATGATAACGTTGAAAAAGATGATAGAATTACTGATGATTTATCAATTGATCGTACTGAATTATTCCCATGATTACCATTGATTACAGCACAAAACTATGAAAGAGAAAAAAAATTTCTTTTAGTTTTAATAACTAAGTACAAACCATATACTAGTATATATAAACAAGTAAAACTGTGAGCTACTGCTCACTGATGATACCACCGCCGAAATATTTCGGTAAACAGGAAGTTGTTGAGTGATGAATCTGAAAACGCATCACACTGTGTAACGTACTTATATAAACCCTGAAACCAAATTTCAGAAATCCTTGTCAAGTAGTTCCTGAGAAAAATGTGACGAAAATTTTCAACTTGGCTATCATATGTAAAATAATACAAGTGTTCGGTAAACAGGAAGTTGTTGAGTGATGAATCTGAAAAAGCATCACACGATGTAACTTACTTATATAAACCCTGAAACCAAATTTCAGAAATCCTTGTCAAGTAGTTCCTGAGAAAAATGTGACGAAAATTTTCAACTTGGCTATCATGTGTAAAATAATACAAGTGTTTGGTAAACAGGAAGTTGTTGAGTGATGAATCTGAAAAAGCATCACACAGTGTAACTTACTTATATAAACCCTGAAACCAAATTTTAGAAATCCTTGTCAAGTAGTTTCTGAGAAAAATGTGACGAAAATTTTCAACTTGGCTATCATGTGTAAAATAATACAAGTGTTCGGTAAACAGGAAGTTGTTGAGTGATGAATCTGAAAACGCATCACACTGTGTAACTTACTTATATAAACCCTGAAACCAAATTTCAGAAATCCTTGTCAAGTAGTTCCTGAGAAAAATGCGATGAAAATATTCATGGGACGGACGGACGGAGGGACTGACGGATGGACAGACAGAGGTAAAACAGTATACCCCCCTTTTTTAAAGCGGGGGTATAATAAAATAAAACTGAAATGTATAATGAAACACTGGCAATAATTGCAGTTTGAATAAGGATGTGTACATGTGTTCAATGTGGAACCAACAGTTGCGTATAGCAATCATATGATAAAAGTGTAGGAGACATGTTTACTAGATCAAAGTTAAAGACTATAACATAAAATTGACAGTTGGACCCCTGATGATGGCAGATGTGTCATAATATCTATTGATGACGAATTAAAATATAAATATATCAATATATATATATATATATATATATATATATATATATATATACATAAATATTTTTAATATTTATATATTAAAGTAATGCATCTTAAGATGACCATCTCAAGCTTTAACTGCCGAAACACTAAAAAGTGTTTGGTCCTATCAGGCAATATACACTAATATACATGTAGGATGCATGGTTGCATGGGTGTTTTATTATAACAAAATGATATAAATTTTAGTACATTTCACAGATGTTTTGTTTCATGTACAAATGTATCTTGTATCTTGTATTGCTTTATCTCGTATCTCTGTATTGTCTTTTACACCTTCCTTAGTAGCAGTCAGAAAGAACCATCTTTCAAAATGTGTGGTCATGGTGGTGCTTTATTACTATACTTTTTACTTTACTATTGTATTATTTCTATCTGATACTCAAAAACAAGTATTATTACAAAATCGTTGCAAAATTTAATTAGCCTCACAATTTGAAACTTTATAAAACAATAAATAATCAACTGTAATTAATTGACTTTTTTCTATAAATTTATTTGTTTTAAGATTCATCATAACCTTTTAGCAAATATGACTGTATTTTCACCACAAATTTCACCCTCAGTACAGACAAACATGTGCCCTGGAAAAGTTTTGGAGCATGGCTGGACCTAGATATATAAAATTTAAATGCATTTAAAGTTTCAGAATATTAAAAACTTCACTGGATTTGGCTATTCATTTTTTTTTTCATTCCTGCAGAAGGTGCCAAAATAAACTTAAGTTGGTAAAGAAGTTTGAGAAGCTCCCCTCATACATGTCATACATGAATTGTCATAAATAAATGTTGTGAGTTGTATTGATTTTAATGGACAAAAGATTGGCAATAGCTATAGACATCTGCAAACAATAGGTGATTTAAACTGTGAAACTGAGTGGGCTGTATCAAATGAAACTCTTATGTAAGTTTATTTTCCTCTCTTCTGCAGGCTGGAAAAAATGCACATCAAAATCTAGGTATTAAAAAGTTTTTAA